GTTTGCAGTGTCTCTTGGGAAGGGACAAGGTGTCCATCCCTTCCTGGTGGTGTGGCGAGTGAGGCAAGGCGGCATGCGTACTGGCTCAGAGCATGTGCTCGGCCACTTTCTAGCTGAGTGATGTGGTCTTACCTCTCTGTGCCCGTTTCCTGCTGCGTCAATTGGGCATCATAAGAACAGCCACTTTCAGAGTTGGTTTGCGGATTAAGTCATGTAATGTCAAGTCCTCGGGACAGTTCCTGGCACGTGGTGTGTCCTCTGTGTCGACCATCACTCCTTACTCTCAGTTGACTGAACTAGTTTTCATTCATGAGTAGGTGCTTTTTGAGGGGTTTCTCTGTGAGTGCTCGTGACTCTAAAGAGAGGAGAGGCAAACGTGTGTTAGGATCATTTCAGCCGAAAGTGACGGAAAACCTCAAATAACAGGGTTTGAGCAAGATCATTTGTCTCACTCTCTCTCCTTTCTCAGTTCTGTGATCATTTAAGTCTGGGGCTTCTTTACATAGCTGCTTCACTCCCCTTAGTGAGCTGGCATGGTACTCATGCTGCAAAGTGGCTGCCTGAGCTCCGGCTGTCAAGTCCTCATTCCAGCCAACAGGAAGGACAGTCAAGAGGGGACCTTTATTCTTTAAGGGAATTCCAGGAAGCTGCCACTTCACATTTCTGCTTGTCTAATTGGCCAGAACTTAGCGTGGTCACAATGAGCTGCAAGGGAGGCTGGGAAATGTGTAGTCATGTGCCCCGCTGAAAGTCAGGGACCAAGATTGGGGAGACACAATTAGCTGTCTCTGCCAAGTACGTGATGTGCTTCAGGATGGAATCAAGGTCGGTGCTAAGAATGAACAAGGCGAACTATATCTTTGCGATTCCAGGTCTGAAGAAAAAAGGAAGACTAATGGGGGAATTCAGACATTTCCTGTGATAATCTTAACACACATTTGAATGAGCCCCCCAGGTGCCAAGCTCTGCCAGGCTCTGGGCATAAAAGCTCGTCCCTGTGCTCCAGTAGCTATAGGTTATTGGATTGACCTGTGCCTGCTTTTTGGTATCTAAGAACCTGTTATAACAGAGCAATTTCGTGAATTTCTGATTTAGATCTCATTCATTCATTCATTCATTCATTCATTCATTCATTCGTGTGTGTGTGTGTGTGTGTGTGTGTGTGTGTGTGTTGGCGGGGGCAATTGTATTGTAGCTACAAGAACCCGCTTAGTAATGCATGGTTTCTGGGGCCATCTGTGACCCCAAGACTGGGTGCCAGGATATCCCCAGGGAAGCACTGAGTGGCCTCCATTGATGCCACAGTCACATGGTTTGATTGGGAATCAAATTACCAGGTTTGAGCTTTGCTGTCTCACTCAGGGCAAATGACTAGCATTTTGGCTTTCTTGTGCCTATAAAATCAGAGCATCTGGGCAGCGTGGGGCTCACCCCCCACCCCCAAAGGAGTGATGTCCTGTCTGGGGGCCGTGCTGGACACCATCTCAGTTAGTGGCGTGTTTTCTTGCTAATGACAGTGGCAAGGAGTGTAATCGTTGACAGCAATTGAGGTGACCTGTGCGCAGCCCGGCGTGAGGGAGCAAGGCGAGGCCTTCCTGCCTGGAGGGGCTAAGCGGCTGGCCTTCCTGCACTGTTAGTGGCTGGGTGGTGAGTTCAGGGCAGGTGCTAACCATCCACAGCCCATCCTGAAGGGCGGGAGCAAGTGACAAGTCAGTGCCTCACCTGGAGCTGGCGGCTGTTTCTAAGCCCTGGGCTGTGGTTTTCCTCTCTCTGGCTCGGAAGCAGCGTGGCCCCAGGTCTGTCCTCTGTGAGGTTGCCCCTTCCCCTGTGGACACGTTCAGCCTGAAGCTGTCCAGCCGGGCTCAGTCAGGTGACAGCAGCATAAAGCTAGAGTGGAGGGTTCTTAGCAGGAGGCCCCCACAGCTCGGCCGCCATGTCTGTTTTCATTTGTTTTACTCCTCCAGCACTATTGGAGTGGGCCAGAGGGCACTAAGGATGAGCTGCTGGAAGACACTAAACTAGCACAGTGAGGGGCGCCGGGGCTGTTGGAGCCGCCTCCTACGTGAGTCATTGTGGAGAAATACACGTCCTGTGGCAATATGGGAACCTGTGCGGACGCCACAGCTGTCCTGCTGGGAGCTGCCCTCCAGAAGGGTCTCGGAGGAAGGGCCCCCCGTACAGCGCAGCGCAGCGCACCTTGGGGTCGGCCTGGTCACGGAGCCAGTGCTCCAAACTGCAGTGCTCTTTGGGCCCCACAGTCACTGACTTCTAACAGCTGGATTCTTTTGAACATAATCCAACTTGAGGTTTCATGTACCTTGGACAGGTGTGTGTGTGTGTGTGTGTGTGTGTGTGTGTGTGCATGCACGTGTACGTACACACTTGTACTTTTAGCTTTTTGACATATAGATGATTTTGCCCGCCTTTAGTTATATGAAAATCTATGAAATGTCACATAAATGTTGACTTAATGATGCAGTGGGGCTAAACAGTGTGCTAGTCCTGACCCATCCCCTCCCGGGCCCCTTCCCACTTGTCCCAATTCTCTACAAGTTGAAGGAATTTGTGGAGACCGTTGGGGCTTCAGTCCTGGAGTAATGAGAACTGTGCTTTTGGGCTTCGACCTGTGGTTTGAGAGTCAGCTCTGGGACCTTGAGCAAGTCACTTAACTTGGTAGATTCTCTAAGTCGGTTTCCTCAATAGAAGAACAAAATAACCTAATAACATCTTGTCATGGAATTAAATGAGATATAGTGTCTTCAGAGTGCCGTACAAATGAAGAAATTGCAAGTTACTTTCACTGATTCTTTCACAGGATTTTTTTTTCTTTTTGTAAAGATACCTTCCTATTGCCTTAACTTTGTATTCAGACAGCAACCCACAGCGCTAGCTGGTTTCTCGTCCCACCACTCCCTTAAAATTATGTGTTAGAAGGGGCAGGGGCAGACTATATCCAGGGCACATTGCCCTGCATATGGAGATTTGCAGGACCAAGCTTGGCCCCAGCTCCGACGGGTGGGTCAGTTTCCCCCGGAGGGAGGGCTCGAGCTGGCTGCTTGCGTTGGCATCCTGGCTCCCCTGCCACTGACCTTGGGCAAATCATTGAACCTCTGTTCACCTCAGTCTTCACCACCAGTGGAGTGGGTATAATAATAATTTCCATCATATATGGTTCTGGTAAGTCAATGAGATCATTTCAGCATGTTGAGCCCAGTCATTACCTAGCACCTGGAAGAAACTGCCCATTACTGTGGACTCACTGTGATAATAACCACTATTTTTAATTGTAGTGAACTGTACACAGCATAAAATTGGCCACCTTGACCGCGTTTAAGTGTACGTCTCAGGAGGATTAGGTGTGTTCACATTGTTGGGCTCCTGATCCCCAGAACGCTTTCATCATGTGAACCTGAAACTGGACCCATTAAACAAGCCTCCATCACCCTGTCCCCCGAGCTCCTGGCAGCCTCTAGCCTATCTTTCGTTTCTATGCCTGTGACTCCTCTAAACGCCTCACGAAGTGGGGTCACCTGGTGTTTGTCTCTTTGTGACTATGACTATTTTAGTCTTAGCCCGTCTCCCATTTCAGCGTTCAATTAGAAACTCATGGCTGCTGGCGTTAGCCCAGGTTATTTATGAATGATTTCCTTTCTTAAGGGGACAGGACACCTCAAAGCTCCACCTTTCCATGAGGACACATTTGTGAAAAGGGACATTACAGTGAAGGGGACATAACAGGAGGGCGTTAAGTGAGGGAAAGGCCGTCCCCACAGGCAGCAGAGTGGAGCCCCGGGGTGCTTCCTCCCGATTGTTTGAAAAGCCAAAGCTACATACAAGTGCAGAGAAGAGTCATGGACCCGTGTGCCTGGTGTCCCGATGCGACAGCTACCTAGATTTTTGGGGGCCCATTGTAAACAAAGCCTGAAGGTGTGAGTTCACTTGGAAATGGCTTCCCCACTCCTAGGTGGGACCCCTGAAGTTGTAGGTATTGGAGGTGTCAGTGTCCGCATCACTCCAGGTCCAAAGCAGGCACACGGTTCACCGTGAGGGTGAAGGACCCATGGCTGTGGACTGGAGCAGAGGGCCCAGCAAAAGTGGGATGAAAGCCATGGCCGTGGCCTTCCTGCTAACAGCTGAGATGTGCGGGGCCTGAGTGACGTCCCCTGGAGGCCCAGTCACTTCCTGACTCGGAGCCCTTTGGCCATCGGCACGTCATCAATGGGCCTTCTGTCCACTTTCTTCTGCCTCTTGTGTGTCTGCACCAGGAGATGAGCAGGGAAGAAAAAATTCGCAACACCTTTTTTTTTTAAAGATGTTTTTTATTGGGGAACAGGGGGATGGGAACAGTGCTGGGGAATTGGGGGATGGGGACCAGACAAGTTGCTATCGTTTTGTTCTTCAGTCTAATTGCTTCACTGGCCCAAGTTGGCACCATCATTGCACTCTTCCCGGGCGAGGTACATCAGTCGCCGGCTTCTGGACGGCCGCTCACTGCGGCTGCTGGCTACATACGGTAGCCCATGGCAACCCACTGCCACAGGGGCTGCAGCCTACGTCTTCGCCGGCGACTCATGGCAGCCCAGCTCCAGGTCGAGCTGTTGTTCAGCATCTTAGCTGTGGAGGGCAGTGTCACTGGCCCTCATATGTGGGATCCGAACCGGGGCCCTCTGGCGTCCTAAGCCAGCTCTCAACCATCGCGCCACTCGGCTGGCCCTCGCGGCACCTTTTATTGTGGCTTTGGGAAGGGCTGTGTGCAAGAGAAGGGAGACGTGACTGCCCTCCGCCTCCTTGCCCCGCCACCGTCACTGCGGACACCTGAGAGGGGCAGGGTGTGTTGGGAAGGGGACCCCACGCTTCCCTCCCAGTGGGCGTGCCCTCCCCCTCAGCCTCTCGTCCAGCATACGAGATGGACTCTTCCTCCCAAAAGCCTTTCTCAAGAGGTCGAGCGTCACCCAGTGACGGGACCGCCCGTCACCCCCGGTGCTCTCCTCTCCCCACAGTCCTCCGTCTGTGCGAAGATCGTGCAGCTGCTGGGCCAGAACGAAGTGGACTACCGCCAGAAGCAGGTGGTCATCCTGAGCCAGGACAGCTTCTACCGCGTGCTCACCGCCGAGCAGAAGGTCAAGGCTCTGAAAGGCCAGTTCAACTTCGATCACCCGGGTGAGTGCGCGCGTGTGTGCGTGTGTGTGCGTGCATGTGTGTGTGTGTGTGTGTGAGACTGTGCGTGTCTGTGTCAATCGGGAGCCGCTTCACAGCTGTGTTTCCCGTCTGAGACGGAGGGCTGCTCGGGCACCTTGCCGGCCTCTGCTGGGGATTGTACGGAGGAAGGAGTTTTGCCACCCAACGGTCAGTGCTTGGCTCCTTAAACACGGATGGACTCTGTCCTGCACAAGGGCGACCCCTCCATATGAGCCTGCCCCTTGAGATGGGCCAGACACAGGAAGGACCACACACAGCGTTTCTCCTGCCTCCGCTGATCGGAAGCAGCCTGTGTCACACGGTCCCCCGCCACCCCGCACGAGGGAGGTGGAGGGTTCGGGGTGGTGCCCTGACCGTCCCGGATCAGCACGCCGCCCCTTTAGCTGGGGGTGTTGTTAGAACTGTTGGAATCGTGCGTCACTTTGCAGGTTGACACGTGCACGTTCCCAGGATAGCAGCTGAACTTGGAGGAAAGAGCAGTGTGAGGCCAGGGGAAGAGTGTCACGGGGAGAAAAAGAGACCCACTTGTCAGCGCTCATTTGTCCATTCTGAGGCACAGAATTTGCATTCTGCTTTGGGTAGAAATCTGGCTTTTTTGGCAGGCGGGGGATATATGCTTCTCTAGGGTGTGATAGACATGTGTGAGATACAGGTTTGTAGGGATGCCCTGGGCATAGTCACAGGAGAAGTCATTTTAAAAGGAAGAAACATTGTAACGCCTTGATTTCCTCCAGATGCCTTTGACAATGAACTCATCTTCAAAACTCTCAAAGAAATCACCGAAGGGAAAACAGTCCAGATTCCCGTGTATGACTTTGTCTCCCATTCCCGGTAAGCGAGCTGCCGTCGCTCCCAAAACTGTCCCCATGTCTCGGGCTCCTGGCCTCTGTCCACTCTGTCCCCCGTCCGTGCCCACTGCAGCCTGTCTGGGAGGGGCAGTGGTGGCAGTGTGCTCTGTGGTGTGTGGGGTCGGGGAGTCCTTCCAGGCGCTGCCTGGGACAGTGTGGACATTGTCATTAGCTCTGAAGGGGACGGTTCGTGAGGGGTCCTGCTTTATTGCAGGAAGAGGCCTCTGGGCACAGACCCCGGGCCGAGTCTGGCTGTGGTGAAGCCTTCCATGCAGATGCTTTCTCCTCTCTTCTGAAACTTGCTTCTGTTCCTCTCTTCCTCTGTCCCTTTGCTCCCTCCTTAGAGGACTGTGGGAGGGGTGAGGTCTTTGGGAGGAGGCTGAGCTGAGGGTGCGTGGATGCCAGACCTGAGAGTGTTCCTGCCGACACCTTCGGAGGAGAGAAGAAACCACACCTGCTTTTGTCTGTCTCTGTTCTGCATTCAGTAGCAGGTTTTTTTTCCAGGGGAAGGACGTCTGCCCTCTGTTTCTCGTTTATGGCGGAAGCTCCCAAGAACCGGTCAGGCGGACCTTTGCCCCAGCTGTCAGGGCCCTTTGCGGGGTCTCCAGGGGGCGTCTGAGGGCTCTGTCAGTCTGTGTTTGTCCTGCGTTGAGTCTTGGGGGGACCCCAGAGTCCCCGCCCCTCGCTCCCCCTGCCTGCTCAGCGCGTCACCTGCTCCATGCTTTGCAGGAAGGAGGAGTCGGTCACGGTGTACCCCGCAGACGTGGTGCTATTCGAAGGGATCCTGGCCTTCTACTCCCAGGAGGTGCGAGACCTGTTCCACATGAAGCTGTTCGTGGACACGGACGCAGACACCCGGCTGTCCCGCAGAGGTGCGTGCGCAAGGCCTCCAGGGCCTGTTGGTGGCCTGTCACAGGCCCCTCCCTCCCTGGGTCCGAAGCCCCTGCTGTCCCTGAGGTGGCCTTGTGGCCGCATGGCCCAGCCCAGAGGATGTCCTGGTGCCCAAACGTTTGGTGACATTCGAGATTGGATTAGTCACTTGCTGTCGTGGGTAATGAAAGGCTTGCGAGGTCACGGAGAGGAAGTAAGACATTTACGTTCCCGTTTCACTGGGGAAAAGTCTGGTTAAATGCTCAGTTCCTTGTGAAGTTTCCACAGGCGTCACTGCCAAGAGGGGAACTAACTTTGGGACACCTGGTGGCAGGGACACCCCGGGCCCGCAGCGCCGGGCCCCCCGTCCTGCCAGGCTGCTTCTCTAGGCCTGTGTTATCCAGGAGGCTCTGGAGGTTTTGACGCTCTGTCTGTCCCACCTGCTCTGGAGCAAACTGGCTGGTTCCCTCTGTGGACTTCACCGAGCGTGGCCGGGGGCCCTGTCCCCGCAGCTGCCTGTGGGCAGGAGCTGAGCCCAGATTTCACGCTGTAGGGTGCAGAGCAGAGAGCCCGGGAAGGAGGGGGTCAGGACGTGGACGTGGCGGGGTGATGACGTGGGGTAGCCACGGAGGCACACGGTATACATGCACACACGTGCACACACCCACGCGTGCACATACATGGCTTGTTCCCAGAGGCAGGGGCTGCACGGGAGACGGTAGCAAGCGCTGTGGGCAGGTCTTGGGGACTGAGGCTTCTGATCTGGTTCTGGGGAGCCGTTCTGGGGAGCACTCCCAAGGGGTTTGGAGCAGGGCGACAAGACAGCTGAGCCCTCTGCTGGAGAATTGTTCCTGCAGAGGAAGTGGAAGCGAGACTGCCACTGTTTGAGGCTCTGTCGCTCCCTCATCTGGATGACAGGCAGGACTGGCACTGTCGTCGGGGGAGGGGGAATGGAGAGGGGAGAGGACAAGAAAAGGCCCAGCAAAGGCAGTGGGTGGGGTGACCGAGGACAGAGAGGAGGCACAGGAAATGACAAATTTGCACTTTCTCCAGTTCGGTGCTCTCGTTGCAAGAACTGTAACTGGATCCAAGGGGACATAGAGAAGCGATGAGGTCTGGGAGGGACGGCGCCGGGCGCCAGGTCACATGCGCCGACTTCGTCCTGGTTCCAGCACTGAGCAGCTGGTGGCACCAGGGCTGGCACCATCGCAAGTGCCAGGAGAGCAGTATTACAAGGCGTCGCCCAGGAAGGTAGAGCCACGCTTTGTGTGGTGGCCACGACCTTAGAAATCCCTCTCCCTTGCTTGTACTGCATCCTTCTGTGGAACCGGAAGGATGCAGTGACGGTGGCCCCCCTGGGGGTGTCTGGGGGTCAGCTCTGCAGTCCCCTCTTTCCCGGGTGCCCCCTGGGCCGGCGCTGCTTCGTCCCCTCAGATCTGCCGTCTTCTCATGCCACCCACTGGCGAGTCACTTTCCTGGTGACTTGTGGGGCTTTCCCACCTGCTGTCCTTGCAGGATGAGGAGCAGGCCAGGCACGTGCTTTGTGAGGCGAGGCGGGAGGGGCGGCCAGTCAGGGGCAGCTGAGGGGCAGAAGAACATTCTGAAGACTTGAGTTAACACCATAGTTTTGCCCATCTGTGTGTCACACCCTCCCGGGCATGTGACCCCTGCGTTCCAAGTTGGCCCTTGTGGGAGGGTCTTTGAGTCATTCAGCCGTGGAGACATGTGCCTCCTTCCTGTGGGGACAGTGAGAGCTGAGATGGGGACCTGGGCTGCTGATGGACACCTGGTCTCTCTTCTGCCCAGTTCACGTAGAGTTAGGGCTGCAGTGGCCTTCCGTCTGTTCTTAAGCGACACATTTCCTCAACTAAACTGTATAAAGTGAATTGATTTAATCGTTGAAGAATTGTATGTATTCTGGGTCCTTCCTAATGGTGTCCGTGGCTTTGGCTGCGCGGAAGGAGCTCTCATGGGTTTGGAAGGGCTGAAGTGGATGCCACGCAAGGAAGATGGGTGGACGTGAGGTGTCTGCCTCCGGCCGGGCCTGTCCTGGCCTGTTGCGTGCCAGGTCACAGTGGTGGTCAGGGAGCCGGCTTTGTGTCCCTGGAGTTTCCGCTTTGTGCCAAGACTGACTTCGTTCTGACTTGAGCCAAGGAGCAGGACCCTTCAGGGAGGGGACTGGCTGCCCGTGCTGCCCTGGGCTCAAGGGTCCCGGCCTTAAACAGGGATAGCTCGATGGAAGGCTCCTGGGGAGAGGAGGTGGGCGGTGCCTTTCGACTTTGAATGTCCCTAATGTCTGTTCAACACTCTGACCCAGTTCCTGTTTCCTCGAGTCTTCCTGTGGTCATCTCCTCTCCTGCTGCACCCAGACACCCCGCCCCCCCCTCTTCCAGCTGCTCTGCAGACTCCCTGCTCTCAGCTGGGTCTGACTTGCTTATCTGAGGTCATGGTCCGTGTCCCCCCCCCCCCCCCCCAGTGCTCTGCTCCGACAGGGAGCCATCCGCCCCCTGAAGCTTCCTCAGTTTGTGCTGTCACCGTAATCATAGGCATTCAGGCTCATTGAACGCCTACTATGTGCTGGCCACGTGCTGGAGAGCTTTGTGCACGAGTTCTGAGTGACCGCTGTGTGAGGGGGGTGCTGTGACTGTCTGTTTTACAGTGTAGGAATGTGAGGTTCACAGAGGTTGTTGCCATTGGGGTCAGGATTCAAATCCGGGTCAGTTTTGCCCCCATTGCTCCAGAGCGGCTTTTGGGGTTCCACGGCAGACCTGGGTGACCCCCCCCCCACCTGCTGCTTTCTCCTTGGCTGGTTCCTCCCTCTAGCAATGTGGACAGGCGGGGCTGTCAGGTCTGCAAGGTCCAGGGGGCTGCAGGGCCAGGCTGAGGGCATTGGGATTGCTCCGTGAGCTTGTGTGCACGTGTGTGTGCACGTGGGAAGGACGGAGGTTCCTGCAGGTCCTGTCAGTCATGGGAAAAGCACATTGTGCGTGAGTCCCGGTATCAGGCCTCTGCTCACTTAAAGTGGGAGCTGCCTGGGAGGGAGCGGGCGTGTTTGTTTTGTCCTAGCTCTGATAGCCCTTCCTCCGGCTTCCGGTTTCCGTTTTGTTAGGGCTTTATCTGGGGACGTGTGAAGGATTGGTGGCTGCACTGCTGTGTTGCCGGCCCGCCTGCTCTGGGGCCAGTGGCGCTGAGCCTGCCCTGCTGAGTGTCCCTGCGGGGCGGGCTGGAGCAGGACCTGTGTCAAGATGCCCCAGGAGGCAGGTCATTTCCCAGCTGGGGACAGCACCGCTGTGGTCTGGGCGGGCAGTCACAGGGGGTGTGAGACAAGTCCTGAGCACCAGGGACCAACCAACTGACTCATTTCCCAGGGCTCACGTGGGAAAAGCTCTCTGTAAACTTAGTTGCTGGCGGGAAGCAGTGCTACCTGCTCTGGAATGTGGGCTTCTGACGCTGCTGCAGCCAGCTGGCCTCCCAGGCTGGCAGCCAGCCTGGGTCCTAACTCCGACAGCCTTCCTCTTTCCTGCCCCTGCCCACGCGTGCGTGCCTGCGCGCTTGCGCATGTGGGGACAGCATGAGTCAGAGACGTGGCCTTCCAGAAATCCACTCCCAAGCATTCCCTGTGATAGGGGGCTTCACCCCATTCCTGAGTGTGGAACCTGAGAAACGGCTGAGAGGCACCGAGGGGCCATCGCAAATGACTGGAGATGGACCTGATGGCCTTTTGGGGTGGGCATGAGAGATTTCACAGCCCATGGCACTGAGATATAAAGTGACACTTTAGGGGATGGGCTGTTTTGATTGAGACAATCACCTTTGAAACTTACTAGGTTGGGGGAACCAGGTTCAGGGAGGGTTAGTGTACCCCGAGGCAGAACCAGGGCTCCAGTTCCTTAGAAGGGCAGCCCCTTTTCCATTTTTGACAGAAGATTCTATTTAAAAAGGCGTTTGAAATCCCCTAGTAAGACTACCCCAGGGGAAGGTGAGTTTGGGTCGCCCGGGCAGCTTTACAGCTCCAGCCCACCGTTTCCCTGTGGCTTTCTCATCTTTCACCTAGTGGTTTTGTTTGCAAACCTCATTGCATGAGCTAAGCAGGGATGGCTGACCACAGCTGGACCTCTGCCTGCCCTCCACCCCCTGTAGGGCCTGGAGTGGGAGTAGGAGTTGGGCGTGATGAGGCAGGCACATCGGAGGGTCACTGGGCGGCACACAGCTAAGTAAGTGCCGGACAGGACCCAGGTGGACACGGGAGAAAGGCTCTTGGCACCTGCCCCCGCTCCACCAGGAAGCCCCAGTCCACTTCCTGTCAGGAGCTCCGCAGGCCAGGACTGCCCTGCTTTTTTTAACGCACACTGAAATTTATTTGATACGACAAATGCTGCTTGATACGAGAAGCCCGTTGGCCTGGGCCGGACAGCCGCGGCCTCACACAGCATTGTGTCATGGCCGAATTTGACTGTTGCAAGATGTAAAAATGTGACTCCTTTTCCCCAAAGCTGCTGCTGCCGACCTGCTCTCGGTCCAGTCTCCCAGGGAGCCGGCTTGTGGGCCACCCAGAAGGATTGTGGTGCCCGCATGAGCCTGGCCGGCCTCGCGAAGGGCGGATGGACATGTGTTGGCTCCCGCACCGTTTTCTTGATTCTTGTTTTTCCTTCTCTTACAGTATTAAGGGACATCAGCGAAAGAGGGCGGGACCTCGAGCAGATTTTATCTCAGTACATCACGTTCGTCAAGCCTGCCTTTGAGGAATTCTGCTTGCCAGTGAGTTGTGTTCTTGGTTTGTTTGTTGTTGAATTTGGAATTTAAAATTCAGTCGTACACACAAAGGCATGTAAGTTGAGGAGCTCCCCAGCGGGAGGCGCACGGCTCTCTGAGTGACCCTCTGTCCCCAGGGAAGGGCAGCCCCTGGCACTTTGGTCCTGCTGGGTTTTCCCTCTGACCCTCCTCTGCCCTCCAGCTGGGCCTGCCATGAGCTTGTCTGCCCATCCTGCCTCCTCCTGTCCCATCCTGTCCCATCCCATTCAGGAAGGGGGCCACACTTCCTCCCTGGCAGCTGGGAGCTCTAGTGAGGTGGCTTTCAGAGAAGGAAGGTTCTGACTGGCTTTCAGCCAATCAGCCCCCAGCCCAGGAAACACCCTCAGCTTCCTGGGGAAGATGAACAAATGAATGTGGAGGCCGCTGGGGACAGAGGTGTGGCAGAAGCAGGAGTGTTGCACTCAGGAGACCCCTACCCCGTGTTGACCAAGCCACGGTCTAACTCCCGAAGGATTTCTAATTCAGCTGAGAGGGGGAGAGGGTGGGACTTAGCCTGGTTTGGGGAGAAGGGGGTCTGTGAGCCGCTGAGATGGGGTGCAGAATGAGGCCGAGCATAGCCATTTACTTCTCTGCTCCTCACAAGCCTTTCTCGCTTCTTTACTAGAGAAATCCAATCCCAAACTGTCCTTGTTTCTTTAAGTCTGTCAGTATGTTTTGTGTCAAAGCTGTCTTGCCTTTTGTTTCAGGGTGAGGCCGACTCTGAGTCAGCCTGGGTAACCTTGAGGATTGGATTACAGAATTAGGTTTCTGGGAAGCGGGCAGAGGCGGCCAAGCAGCCATGGAATTCCAGCCATCCATCCCTCTATCTGAGAGCCTCCCCTGCTCTTTTTAACTTAATCAGGAGAACACAAAGTGCATTTATTACTGGACATAAGTTGGAGTTCAAGGCCAGTTTTCTCCCATTCAGCTTAGTTGTAGTGGAGCGCAGAGCTGGGCACAAGCGTTTCCTGGCACGTTTCTGATTGCTCCCACTGTCCAGTCATTCTGCTCTGGGACCATCACATCACTCCCGTGTAAGCTGGGAGCTTGAACCTGGTCATTGTCTGCCTACGTCAGGCTGGGTTTGGGCCCTGACACGCTTGAACTTCAACCGTTCTAGTCATGGGAGCTGCCCAGAGTCAGGTGACGTTCCCAGACATTGTTTATGTGGTCGTAACCCACGCCTCGGTCATACACCCAGACACAGTTACTTGTCAAGTGATCCACAAAATCTCAGTACATTAAAAAACGAAGGAAAAAAAAAAAGGATTTTGTTAATAGTGGCCCTTACCAAAAAATAGTGTCATAATGGAGCCAGCGGAAATGGTCTCCAGTGGGGATGGTTTTTTCTGGGCTGACCCTGGTGCTGGACAGACCGTGGGCAGGAGTCCTGAACGCCTCCCCAGTTACATGTGGGTTTTTATTCATTTAGACTCTTCCTCATGGTGAAGACGCAAATACAGATTTGGTTCCAAAGACCATGTTCTCTGTGCAGGTTGTAAACTAACTAAAACGCCGTTGAACGTTAACGAGAACTCGAGAAAAAGCTGATTTATTAGAATTTAGATCAAAGAGAATAAAAAAATACATGTTCAGAGCCTCAAGCTGCCGCCCTCTGGGATCGGTAGAGAAAAGGCCAGCCCTTCCCCACATCCACCCCTTAATGCATCGTGAATATCTTTTTCCACAGACAAAGAAATACGCGGACGTGATAATCCCCAGAGGTGCAGACAATCTAGGTGAGTCCTCGTGTGGCGTCGCCCCTACAGCACTGGTTGTCTGTCCATTTTTGGCGACGTGAACATTAATCATTGCTTGAGGCGTATGATTCGTTTCTAATGCTAAGAAGAGGGACTCCCATCTTAGATGATCTTTGGAGGAGAGGGCCTTCCGTGGGGACGGGGTAGGTAGGTTCCCCTCTGGACGGGTCAAAGCAGTGGTGTCACCAAAGGCCAGTCCTCATGTCTTCAGGGTTTTGGCTGACCGCTTTCACACAGCCGTGCCTCTGATCATCTGCTGATCAGAAGCCTGTCCCCTAAGGGTTTCTGGGCACGGCCTGTCTTGCTCTAAGAACTCTCCTGGGCGGGAGGTCACACAAGTCCCGTGGGAGGCTCAGGGAGGTTGGGTGACCTGCCCCCAAGTGGCAGAGGCAGAGCCAGTTAGTCACCCAGAACAGTGTTCAGTCCCCGGCTCCCACGAGCCCTTCCACCCACACAGACCTGGGGCCTCACGTGGGCTCCCGCCTCTCCCGGGTGCGTCCCTGACACTGCTGGTTGGTTTCTGTCCCACAGTGGCCATCAACCTTATTGTGCAGCATATCCAGGACATCCTGAACGGAGGGCCCTCCAAACGGCAGCCCAACGGCTATCTCAATGGCTACACCCCTGCGCGCAAGCGACAGGCCTCGGAGTCCAGGAGCCGGCCTCACTGACCCCGTCGCCTTGAGACCCCGGCCCCACGCTCCGGGAGACAGGAGACGGGGCAGGAGGCTCTGCTCCCCTGTACATATGGTTTCCTAGGACACTGCTTATTTAAGAAAACACCCTGGAGATGAAATGCCTTTGATTTTGTTTTTTTGTTGTTCTTTGGAGCGGTAAGATGAAACAGAACTCGACCCGAGCTTACATGACAAACTGTGCCAACTACTACTGGTAATGCCTAATTACGAAGCCAACATGTAACCAGTTATAAATACATACATACATATACATACATATATATATAGATATATATATATAAAAGGATCTATTTTTCTGTAACTGTACAGATACTGTAAAGCCGATTGTTGTAAGTATTTTGCAGGAGGGCCTGCAGTGGCGTTTGAGGACTAGAGCTGGTGTTTCTCCGAGGGGAAGGTGCCCGCTGTGTTCCAGGAGGGGCAGGCGGAGGCATCGGTGTGGGTGGGGGCAGAAGAGGCTCAGGTCTCCTGCCCTGAGTGCCTGCAGAATACCCTTTCTTGGAGCGGGAGCTTCGTGATATGTCGATGAGAGATACTCTTTTCTTTTTTGTTGTTGAAATTAGGCAACACCTCAACTGAAAAGTCAAACTCAGGGAAGAGGCCAGTGGGGAGAAAAGTCTTCTGCGTTCTCCCTACATCCACCCCCGGCTGCCCCGGTGGCAGCCCCGAGACCCCTTCCGCACTCACCCATGTCCCCGTCTCTTCAGAGCCAGCGCTGCCCCTCTCGCCTTCCCTGGCAGGGATGTGATGGGGTCGCTTCCTGGGGGAATGGGGGAGGAGGACACGCTGGTCCCCCTGCCTCCCAGGGAAGTCACCGATCAGATTCCTCGGGCTTTTTCCCGGATTGTGGAGTGCACAGCGGTCCCTTGCAGTCTGGGCTTTGGTGAGGACACCTGCTGGCAGGAGGGACAGCTGGCAGCCCCTCACAGGGTGACTCTGCCCATGTAGTGAGTGGTAGCTTTGGTTCCCCAAGATGGAACCAAAGATTTGCAGGGAGCCGGGGGGGCACGCCTTTCAGCAGATTGTCACTGGCAGGATCACAGACACGCTGATTTACTCATTGACAGCAGTGCCACGTGGCATGGCAGTGGCTGGGCACGGATAGGTGGGAAGACAAGATACAGTATTGACGTCATAAGTTAGAGTCTTAGTGTGAACATATGTGGGGTAGAGAATTCCGCCTTTCCCGAGGGCTCCCTCTTGGTGCAAACTTCCTTCTTTGGAAGAAGGACAAGATTCCTAGAGATTCTTGGTGGAGTCGGTGGGGGGACCCAATGAGACTGAAGGGGCCTGAGTCCTACAGCCTCAGCTGCTGACTGCCCAGCCCCAGAGCCTTTTCTTGTCCGTGCTGACCGTCTCAGAGACTCTCAGCTTTTCCCTGTGGCTGCCCTGCCCGAAGCGATTTGGGGGTGCCCTGCTCCTTCCATGGCTCTTGTAGCCCATTGGACACGTCACCCAATCGCCCCCTTAGACTCAGCACCATCCAGCCTGATTCCCCTTTTGTGGTCTCCATTGGGCTCTAACTCTGTTTTGCTCTTTCAGAAAGTCGAAGCTAATCCCCCACAGAGCTTTGCCACCCCTGAGACGTTGGGGAGAGCGTGCACGGGCTCTGGAGGGGGTGCCTGACGGCCGTGGCTGCCTGGAGGGGGCATGGGGAGGCCCAAGGGGCCTGCTCTGAAGGCCAGGACTTACCAGGATGGAGCGTTCTGGAGTGTATATGTCAGAATCAGCATCTTTCTAGTCATGCCTCGTACGGTGCTGAGATGAAGGGTGGATGACAGGCTGGGGCCAGGGTCCTCTCGCCCTGGGGGGCCCTGTGTGCCTGGGTCCGTGTCTCTCTGGAGAGCCGTGGCCTGTCAGTGTAGCACCCCAAACTTTACTTGAAGCTCCCAGGTGCCAAACCATTTAGTGCCTTGGCTGTCCGTCCCACTGCCTTGGAAGATGGGTCCTTCCCATCTCTGAGTCTTGACTCACCTAGCCGTCTCCATCTACCTGTGGTGCTGGGACCAAACCTCAGTGTGTCCGCGCAGCCCAGTCCCGGCTGGGAAACAGCACTAGGGTAAAACCATCGCCAGTTCTTGGTGGCTTGGCTGGGGGCATGGGCTGCACTCGCTGGGCAACGCTGACTGGCAAGGCCCTGGCTCTGTGACACCCTGTGTCCGGGGCGAGGAAGGGATGGGACGCTCTGTCCCTCTGGTGAGCCCAGCATCTAGCTGAGTATCTGAACTTGAGCTTTCTGTGTGACAAGTGCTAGATCTCTAATGCCACGGGAGAACCTTCAGGCCAGACACCATGGCCTGAGTCGTCTGGGTGCTCTGCCGTCCGGGGAGGTGTCGGCTGTGTGTGTGGGACTCTCGGCTTCAGGCCCCCACGGTGCTCACTTCTCCCCCCCCCGACTCCCAGGTGTCATCCATAGATCAGATGTTCAGGAAACATACCTCGAAGCTTCATGTGTGAAGGCCTGGCCCCAAATTTCTTCGTGCTCATGAGACCCGTAGGAGCAGAGAGATGGGAGTCTACAAGGAGAATGCAGGTGTCGTGCCCTCAAATGTCCTTTGATTTGGAGTGGCGAGGGTGGGCCCTCGAGGCAGCGGCTGGACTGTGGGATCTCTGAAGGACAGGCGAGGGAAGGTGGCAGGGAAGACCTCCAGCTCACCCTTTAGACGCCGTCATTTCTGCGGCGCCCCACTCGGGTCCAGGCGGCCCAGTGGCCACGGGACACTGGCTTCCTGCCCCTCGGGCTCTGCTTGGACCCTTGCCTCGGTGCCTAGTGGGTCACCGGGTCAGGCTGACGGCTTGCGCACTCTTCAGAGCAGACGACAAGCAGGAGGGGCTGGAGCCCAGGTGGGCTGCGTGTCACCTCCTGTGCTGGGTTGGGCCAGCGGAGACAGGTTCTGTGCTACACAGACTGGACTCCGCCACCCCGGCCCTTCACCCGTGGGAGAAACACTCATGGTATCAGACAAAGCAAGGGAGAGGACAGGCTGGGGACCCTCTGGGCGAGTGTGGAGCCCAGAGCCCTGTTTGATCTCTTGTCTCTGGGCCTCTGCTGCCTCCTGGGCAGGTGGCTGGTGTGACGGCTCAACCTTGGCATGCTCCTCCGTCTGGAACAGGGAGGGCAGCGAACGACTTAGGCCTTTTTTCCTTCCAGATGCTTGCTGTTCCTCCTTTCCTCTCTACCACCCTGCCTTTATTGTTCATAGTTACAAAAATGACCACATATTATGTACTTTGCTGTAAATAAAGACTGAACCAAAAAGAACCACCATGTGCTTTCCTTGTGGTGCTTGGGTGGGAGGAGCCGGGGCCGGGGCCGGTGGTGACGGGAGGGCCTGGTGGTGACGGGAGGGCAGCCGAGTGGCTGCGGCTCAGCCTGGCAGTCCTGGGCTGGAACCCTGGTAAGAGGGAGGCATGGGGGCATTTCTCTTCCCCTGAAAGCTGGGCTGTAGCTTCTGGAGGCTTCTGTTCCCCGGACATCTGGCTCCGAGCTCCCTCTGATGTCACCCAGTTTAGGCAGTGTCCTCCCCTCACTGCCTTCCCTGAGGAAGGGGCCAGTCATCACCCCTTCTTCAACTTCCACAATCAAAACCAAAATAAAGCCTTCAAATAAAGAAAACTTGGGGATGGGTACAAGACAGTTGACAGTGTGGCAATACAGACAACCTCAAGTTGAATGTACACATGCGTGATTATTCTGAAAGGATCTATTTAATTACCCAGATACCTACCCATGCAGATACTCACCTATTCCCTGTTTTGTTTTTTTTGGGGGGAGGGGAACAGACAAGTTGCTGTCCTTTTGTTTTTCGGTCTAATTGTGGAGGACGTCACTTCACTGGCCCATGTTGGTATTATTGCACTCTTTCCGGATGAGGCAGTTGGTCGCCAGTGATTGGATGTCTGCTCACGGTGGCTCATGGCAGCTCACAAAAGCACAGGCCCACTGCTGGCCAGCCCCACTGCAGCCTATGCGGTCGCCGGTGACTCACAGCATCCCAGCTCCAGGTTGAGCTGTTGTTCACCATCTTAGCTGTAGAGGGTGCAGCATCACCGGCCCTCATGTGGGATCCTAACTGGTGGCCCTGCTGCTCAGAGCTGGCGTCCCAAGCCAACTCTTAACCAATGAGCCACTTGGCCAGCTTACCTGTTCCCTGTTTTAAGAGACCTAGGTCACCCACCACAAAGGATTTTAAAATAAGTGGCTTCTGTGCTCCTGAGTAGCACCCTAGCCCCCCACCATCTCCCCGCCTTCCTCAGCTTTCACTCCTTCACCCATTGCATCCCAGGCACCAAATGTCCCTCGTCAATGTACAGGGCCACTGCTCTTTCCAGCCGCCAGTTCCCCCGACAGATGCAAACTTAATGAGCTGAGCAGATCTGAAGGAACTTGCTTTTGAGAGGGTCCACCCTCAGAAGGCTGCTGAGGCACCCCCACAAGAGCTGGTATCAAGTACTGTCACTTTCAGGCAGATGACATCAGTCACAGAGCAAGTGGCTTGCGTGGTTCACACAGGTGGTGGCGTGCAGGCCGGTTTAGCTGAGACCCAGTCTATCTGCATGGCTGTCACATCTCCCTGTTCTGGGCTACCTGTGGCATCGGAGGCTTTGCTTGGGACTCAGCTCATGTCTCAGGACCTCACTTCCTCCCTCTAATAGTGGGATAGGGTGCAGGCCAGTGAGGCCCTGTGTCTTCCCACCCTGTGTCACAGCATCCTATGAACCAGCCTTCTGCTCCACAGCTAGGAGACGCCAGTTGGACTGGTGCTGCGTTAATCAAACCATCCATCGGCTCAGATTGGAAGGCACCTATTAGGACCTGCTTAGAGGTTTTGTGGAGGAGGCCTGGGGTGGGGGAAAGTCCGCTTTGAGGGGATGGAGCCGGAGAGGTGGGTTTCTAGCATCACTTGGTGTTGAAGGTATTTAGATTTCTATGGTAAAGCAGAGTTTAAACAGATCATTTTCTAAAACCCAGAAGGAAGTTAACCCACGTGCTAAACCTTGGGGTATGCCTGTATGTATGCTTGCATATATATAGTTCATAGATATATGAACTAAAATAACATAAAATAGCCATGTGAGCCAATGTGAGTAGACTAAACCCAGACATGCATTCTCCAATGAATGGAGGTGAGAGCGGAAGAACATGAAATCATGCCCGACACACACGTTTTTCATGCATTTCCCTTTTGTACTGAGGATCTGTGTGGACTAGACCAGTGGTCCTGAGGTGTGCGGCCCTGAATGAAAA